GGAGAAAGGGATTTTTTAAGAGGATAATCAATATTACGAAAGTTAAATTCCGGATAATAAGCAGTAGCGAATATGTGAAGGGCTATTGATTTTGTTTTTGCTGATAAATGATATTTAAAATAAAAGAAGTAAAAGAGAACATTTCGTCTTTTGGCAGCTCTTATGGAGAACACTTTATGAAGTCCACCGTCTTCCTTCAACTCATCCGATACGGCCTAAGCGCAAGAATCAATGCATGCCAAGTTGTCTACCGCTGGCCCAAATTTACCCATCTTCACTAGCCGTGATTGTCAACTTCAGTTCCTTATGAGGCCTGGATAATTCGTTTCGAACCACCTTTAGCGCTCGGGAACTGACAGTTTTAATCGCTCTACTATTTGAGAAATTAAAATTCACCGAAAAGATCTCTTACACGACGAGCACCTTGTCCAACAAATAGTTCATCGAATTCGGAGCCAGATGCTTGGAAGAATGGAACCTATAATAGATGCGTAATGTTACAGAGTAGTGTATAAAGTACTGTTCCTCAATACTGACTTCTTTTACACAAAAAATTGATAAAGTAATCATAGGATGATTTAGCCTTTCGCTACAATGAAAACATGGAGTGTCATGAGAACAAACCAGCTGTTACGTGCAGTGTCAGTCGAGATTGCTACCGGTTACTCAGAGAAGCATGATTACGCCAGCCTTGCTTCTAAGAGTTAATTTCACATCCCTTCTACATCAGTTTATCAGCGATTCCATTTTCCTATGTTTTCAACAAAATGCTTAGCAATCTTCCAAACCATTATGACTTAATCAAAATTAAAGTCAAAACCCTCTCTTCGCGTTGGTCGTTCGTGAGAAATGGAGGCACTTGTAGGCACTTCTGATGGTACTACTTTTATACTAAAAGCAGTTGTACCCTGTAGCGCGGCTGCCAACTGTTTCCTCTTTTGAGAACTACTTAGAAGCAAATTCAAGATGATTTATGGTGAAGCTCAGCATAAAAAAATGCACTCGAATGCAGTGAAAAAAAATCACCTGGGCTTCACCAGCAACTGCTTTTGCCAATAATGTTTTGCCTGTTCCAGGTGGACCAACCAACAGAACGCCTTTTGGAAGACGAGCACCAAGCTGCATGTATTTGTCCGGATCACGCAAGTATGAAACGACTCCACGTAATTCCATTTTCGCTTCATCAACCTTAAAAATCCAAGCAATAAAAGCGTAAATGTGCGAAAAGTTGAGAACTTGACAGAGCAATATTTCTACACTTACACCTCGGACGTCTTTGAATGTCACATTTATCATCTGGGGATCAATTTCATCC